CTTTACCATGGACATACCCACCAAACACATCTTGTCTCCACAGTGGAAAGAGGCCAGAAGATCAGTGAGCACATTGTCATTGGCACCCCTGGGACTGTCCTAGACTGGTGCGCCAAGCTCAAGTTCATCGACCCCAAGAAGATCAAGGTGTTCGTCCTGGATGAGGCTGACGTGATGATAGCTACTCAGGGCCACCAGGATCAGAGCATCCGCATCCAGAGGTAGGAGCTGCGGGGCCTGCGGGAGGACTTCTCAGCCTCCTGGGCCGCACGTACACATCCTGTTCTCTGTGTCTCCTCCTGCTGTATCCAGGGCCTCTTCTCCCTCCTGCTGGGTTCTTGGCTTTCAGAACCTGCAGAAGCATTTGTTCAGTGGGCCATTTCTGTGTCGGCACCGGCCTCCGGTGGAGGAAAGAGACCTCAGGACTCTACCGGCGCCCGTCCCTGCCCCGTGTCTGCTTCTGCCTCCCTGCGCTTCTCCCCTTTGCGCCTTCCCTGGGGACGTAGGCCATCTAAGCCAGGGAAGCTGGGTTGGGCCCTCCCAGGGAAAGCCTCGAGGTCATGCCAGATACCTGGGTCTTCCCTCACAGGATGCTGCCCAGGAACTGCCAGATGCTACTGTTCTCTGCCACCTTTGAAGACTCGGTATGGAATTTTGCCCAGAAAGTGGTCCCAGACCCAAACATCATCAAACTGAAGCGCGAGGAGGAGACCTTGGACACCATCAAGCAGTATTATGTCCTGTGCAATAACAGGGATGAGAAGTTCCAGGCCTTGTGTAACCTCTACGGGGCCATCACCATTGCTCAAGCCATGATCTTCTGCCATGTGAGTGGTGGCGGTGGCAGCTGGCCTTTTGGGGTAGGGGTGATGCCGGATGGGGCTGCCCAGCCTCACCCCCACCTTCATGCTGAGGACCAGGTCCCCTCTGCCAGAAAGGAAATGATGAACCACCTCCACTTGCCCCAGGGTTTATTCTCCTCACATTGTAATGAGTTATAAGAGAAAGACTGAAGAATTGAACCTTCTTTGGTCCCACTTCTTAGACATAACTTGGAAAAATCTCCAAATAACATTCAGTGAATAACTTTAAAACATTAAGAATATAGACTGTTTAGGAATGAAGATCTTTGGTTCAAACCATATCTTCCTAGCTGAACACTAAGATCATTTAAGTAATTCATCCAAAAAGAAGTCACATGGCTTGAATTCTGTTTTGGGACATTGGTAAGACTAACCTGCCTACTGAACTCAGCAGGGCCTTCATGTCTTTTAATGGCGACATGCCACTTTTTTGCAGATGTTTGCTTTTTTTATTTTTTTACAGGTATCTTCATTTAAAACAATTCTTTTCACTTCAGACACGCAAAACAGCCAGTTGGCTGGCAGCAGAGCTCTCAAAAGAAGGCCACCAGGTGGCTCTGCTGAGCGGAGAAATGATGGTGGAGCAGAGGGCTGCAGTGATTGAGCGCTTCCGCGAGGGCAAAGAGAAGGTTCTGGTGACCACGAACGTGTGCGCCCGCGGTGAGCAGAGAGCATGTCCTGTCCCCAGGCTCTGGGAAGCGAGAGAAATCCTCCCACACCGGCCACTCAGATGGTCTGGGGGAGATGGGGTGCGGCTCATGGTGACATTCCTCTCTCTCGCTAGCAAGAATGCCCACAAAGCCCAGAGTCCTGACCTGGTGGAAGGAACGCACAGGCATCTCTGACTGTTCAGAAGGGCGCCTGCCCCTCGTGGGGCGCCCAGTGAGGTTTCAGCTGCGTCTCCAATGCTTGCGTCCAGTAGAGGCTCTTACTGACTTCATAATTTTGCTAGCACCTGCCAAAGTTCTGCTGCTTTCCTCTGGGTTCCACTACGTCCCCTTGTCCCCAGGTCCCAGAGCTGGCCCGGGCCACTGGTCCTGCCACCTGAAGTTGGTGGCATGTGGGCCTGACTCGGGGTGACAGTGACTTGTGTGTCCTGTCCTCAGTCCTCCGCACTCTCCTTCCTGCAGGTATCGATGTTGAACAGGTGTCTGTCGTCATCAACTTTGACCTTCCTGTGGACAAGGACGGGAACCCAGACAACGAGACCTACCTGCACCGGATCGGGCGCACGGGCCGCTTTGGCAAGAGGGGGCTGGCAGTGAACATGGTGGACAGCAAGCACAGCATGAACATCCTGAACAGAATCCAGGAGCATTTCAGTGAGTCCTTGGGAGTGTGCCCGCTGGGGCCCTCTCCTTACAGGGCAGGGCCAAGGGAAAGTGCAGGAAGCATTAAGTTTTCCCCTGGGCCCCAGAGAGACCTTTGTCCCTGTGCACCTTCCCCTCCTTCCCTGTACTGGGGAAGTTCTCACAGAGCACACCTGGAGAGTTCAAGGTCAGGGACTTGAAGAACTGTCCCCCCTTGGCCAGGCTGGGGGCGCCTGCAGCTCTGACCCTCGCTGAGGCAGCAGAAGCCTCTGGGGTAAAGGAAGGATCGGTGGGGCCGGAGGCCTGGCATGTTCCTGGGCAGGGCGGAGAGCTGTGTGTCTCCTGTCACAGCCGCCTTCCTTCCCTAGGGCTATGTCTGCACGTTGGCCCGTGTTGCTGACTCTTTGAACTCTCTCTTTTCCCCAGATAAGAAAATAGAAAGATTGGACACGGATGACTTGGACGAGATTGAGAAAATCACCAACTGAGCAGCTCCGCCAGTCCCTGGTGTCCCCGCGCTCCTGCTACCCTGGAGCCTTGTGCTCTCGCAGCACAGGCCTCAACAGTCCCCATGAGGATGGAGGCCTGAGCAGAGAGGAACTACCTACCTCATTCTAAATTATGTTTGGACTTGACAAAAATTGTGCAAATGATGGGGGATGGTAGAAAACATTGTTTACACAACTTTTGAAGATCAGGCGTGAATACACATAAATTTTACATTTTCGAGATCCGTCTTTTTTTTGGCCAGTGTTTTCCCCATCTAGAAGCTGTGGCTAATCACTTGCTTGGGATACTTTCAGCAGCCCCTGCCTGTTCTATAGCCAGGAGTGTTCAGGCCACCTCCAGTCCTTGTGAAAGTGACAGAGGTGAAGCGGGTGCAGAGAGGGGCCCCAAGTAGGAGAGGTGAATAAGCCAGCTATGGTGTCTAGAATATGGCATGAGGCCTGTGCTGCTGTGGATTTGTGGGACAGCTCATGTGAGTGTCGTCAGCCTGCTCTGTGCTGATACCCACAGGAGGAAAGGACTTGCTAAGCCTGGAGCAAAATGTCCATCTGGGACCCTCGGTGTGTGCAGGTTTGTGTGGCAGGACCAAGACCCATTTTTACAGCAGGTGCGGTCTGTGTTTCGTACACATCTCTACTGGTGGATCCCTTGCTTGTGCTTGAGCAAGTCCTGTGGAAAGTCATGCCGGAGAACTGGTGGTGACCCTAGCCTGCCACAAAACCTGATCTCATAGGCACTTGTGTCATCTTTTTTTACATCCTGAACATCACTTTGACCCCTTAGTAGTCCCAGGGAACTAAATGTTGATCTGAGGTTTGGGTCCTCAGTGAAAATTGTGGTTTCAAGTCATTAATGGCCAGCCTCAAGGGAGCCTCTAAAGTGATCAACAGTAATCACAAAATCCTTGCTTTGTCTCCAGATCCCAGAAGGCAAGTTTTGTCAGAGCTGGGTTGGCTTTCAGATATTTGGCATCTTGACAGTAAAGAGACTCTGAACATCTGTCTGTGCTTGGAAGATAAACAGGTGCTACCAAGGGACTAGATGGACCAAAGCCATTCATCTTTCCAAGGCAGGAGTAACCACCAAGGCCTTTGCTCCATCCTCACTTGGCATCTTTATGCAGAATATTCAAAAGCAAATAATTGTAGTGGACACTTCCTTATACCTGGCCAAGGGTGTGGGTACCCACAGAGTGACAGAGCAAAGCTGAGATGAAAATAAAACCCCAGCCAAAAGGAGTTCTCTTCAGCTCTTTGACCTTGATACAGAATGGGTACTTGATCTAGGACCAGGCCTAGAAGGGAAATTTTCTGTCATGAGAACTATTCCAATCCCAGACTTTTCTTCTAGGCACTCCTGGGTTTTAGGCCAGCTTGTCTCCTGGGAAGGACAGGGACCAATGCCAGCCTCCAGGTGGTTTCCTTAATCTGACAAGGGTGCTGCAGAGACGGACAGACTGCCAGTCCTGCCACATATCCCCCAGTGGGCACTTAACTGTGCAGTCCTCTCTATGCTTCTAGCCAACTCTGATCCCACTGGGAGTCTTGTAAGAACTGAAGACATTTTATGCCTCCCACTCCCCTGGAGTGCTGTGGGCCAGTCCTGAAATAACTAGGAACGCGCAACAAAGGAGTTCAGGCTGCCCATAAGGCTGCAGACTGACTGCACCCCCACTTCTCACATGTAGAACCTGTCCACTGAGTAGCCTTAAATCTGAGCAGGAAAATGGGAAGGAATGTACTTTAGACTTTTCCATAGTAGGAATAACTGGGTGTCTGGTAGGAATCTAGATCAACAGTTCTTAATCTGGTGGCTTGGACATTTCAGAATTTACTGGATGGCTTTCAGGGAGTCTATAATGTTTATGCAATATTTTGAGTTGAAATGCATTTTCCTGTTGGGAGTATATGTCTTTTAAAGAGGTAAGACTTACTGTTATGGATGGCTCTGGAATGTCACCCCAGTGACTGCAATCCATTTTCCTTCACAGTTCATATTCATTCCTGCCAGTGCTTGGCGCAGTGGTCCACAGCCGCCTCAGTGACCTTATACAGTCTTGAGACATCAACGATGGGAAAATGTGTTGAAGTTGAGTCCTTGCTGTTTCAGTCCCCAGAGTTTTTTACTGTTTTTAGTAAGTTCCTATGTATGGAATGAAAAACTGTGTCCCAGAACACAGAAACTCACTTGGGAAAAGGAGATTTTGGGTCAGTGGCAGATTCTGGATATGTTCATTATCCATAAACAATGGATTTGATCCACTTTTTTTGAGTGTCATTTCATTGGCTATAAATATAAGAATGAATTAATTGATGCATGCTTTATTGACATTAATGGAGCTTTATTTTGAAGTGTCCGTGTTACTGTGCCTGAGTGAAGACACACATCATCCCGCGGGCTAGTCAGCACCTGCTCCTACTATTCCATTTCAGAGTCGCTGTTCCTCTAACAGGAGCGCCTGGGATGTCTCCCAGGCGAAGGGTACTGCTCAGCTGCCAGACGGCTCCTCACATTCCCTTTTTCCTGCTGATAAACCAGAAGACACTGGCTAACAGTTTAGAAGGTAGATGTCAGTAAGAACAAAGTCCCTGTATTCTGTTTCTCTAATCCTAGGAAAGGAATAAAAATAGGGCTTGGAAGTAGGTCTTCTCCCTTTGTTGTTCCATCTCTTGTTTGTTAACATGAAGAATATTTCTTGGGAATGAGTGTCATTGGCATTCAGTGGAGCGCAGTTTGTTTTCTGAGAGACAAATGGGATTCCAAGTGACAGGAAGAGTGCCCTCAGCAAGGGAAGGCCTATTAAGACGAAGCAACGTCACCAGGACAGGCACAGTGTACTGAAAGGGTAGTGAGGAGAGCAGCCTGCCCATGTGCATAGAGAAAAGTCTTGTTAAGTAGAAAATGAAAATTTGATTGATTGAACAGTATTTGGACTTAGTGGTAAATTATCATATTCTTAAATCATAGAAAAGAGGTGATGAAATGGGGGGAAGTTGGGGAGGTATGTAGGATATACTGGAGCTGGAAAGAGCAGGCACCTGAGAAACCAGGTCACTGCATCAGTCCCATCACATGGCAAGCGCCAGGAAGTCATTGGTTGTACTGAGAACACAAAAGAAGGAATGGACTGGAAGGATGTTACAGAGGAGGAATGGTGGGCTTTTATACCTTACTGTTATTCCAAAAAGGATACGAGGCTCTTAAACATTAAATGCACTATGCAAAATACTTCTGGGGAGAAACCCAAAGAGGTTTGGGAAGAATAGATGGCATCAGGGCTGAGTCTTGTACACAGCACCTATGATGTCAGGCCCATCACCTTTGCAAGAAGGGACTGGCTGCCCTCCTCCAACACCAGCCAAGATGTAGATCTCAGAGGCCATCTGCAGGTTTCTCTTGGTCCTAGACGCAGCTATCAGAGTCTTAGGAGCCCCTTGCAGTTTTACCTGACTTTGCTCTTCTGCATGAGAATAAATGTTCCTCATTCTGTTGACTTGAGTCAGATAGCAGCATCTTCCAATCATGGCACACTAGAGGTAAGGGGACCTGAGGAGCCGATGCTAGGAGGCTCCACACTCTGCTTTCCTAATCCTAATCTGGGTCAGGGCTTCTCCAGATCGTCAGATACCTCATGGGAAGCTAGAGGTGGGAAGCTGCTTGGAGGGTGCTGGTCACACTCCTACCTTATGCCCTCTCTCTCTCCATCACCTACTGTCGGGTGCTGCTGCCTTGGCTTAGGAACTGTTCTGGCATTAACATTCAGCAGAGCAAGTGGCTTCTCCGTATCAGTTCTAATTGTCAAGTGGGGGATAGGAGTAGATGGAAGAAAAGAGGACGAAGAAAAAGAAAGGACTGAGAGTGGCTGCTCAGATAAGATACTTAGGCCTCCGCTTTAGCAAAATGTCATAGGCAGAGGTGGTCGGTGGCAGATCTTTCCTTTATACAGCTCTACAGCCTGAGATTACAGTCAGCTTTGTGCAGAAGGACAGGGAGGGTGGGGGGGGTGGGATGGGGGGTTGGGTGGAGAGAGAATGGGACCCTCTTGGAAGTACTAGTTGAGACAGAATCCCCCCCTGCAAGTACTAGTACACATTTAGTGAGCCTTTACAACTGTTCTATTTTCATCCATACACTTTCAGAATCCTTGGAACTCTCCAATTGGAGAAAAGCCTGGTAATCTTAAATTAGCTTATCCTTTAGAGCAAATATCCCCATAGTTAGACTTGAAAGGACATGAGTCGGCCCCTGGTCATGTGTGCAGCCAAGTGTGCTAAGTATTGTTCTCTGGTCTGTGTTCCTCTCAGACACCAACAGCTTCTAAATGCACAAAAATTGTCCCCAACAAACCCATGCCATTTCAGTCCAGGTTTAATAACAACAGGTCCCAGTGTATTAGCATTGCTTTGTTCATTTCTAAAACAAGATTATGTTAAAGGGGCAGATTATTGTCTATTCATCTGATTTCGTATTTAATTTCAACAGAGGGGACAACTTTGGGGAAAGCCAGAGAACCTGCAGCCTCACGGGTCACTAGTCCTATCTGGTTAGCTTCCCATCTCGGTCCAGTGACCATCGCAAGAGTTCTACTCCCCTCAAACTTCCAACAGCACTGTCCACCTCAGCTTCAGTAAATAATGTCCCTGTTCCAAATAAACGGCCAAACAAAGAAACTCCTCCAACCTTCTGCCACCAGACCTTCAGGCACACCTATACTTCCTTCTCCATCCTGTTACAATGGGAGAAATATGTCTAATACCTAAATTTCTCTCCCAGGGCTCCAAGTTCCCCCTCCTGTGGCTTTTAAAGGACTTGCGCCATCAAATCCTCTCTTGGACTCACTCTCCCTCATGTTTGGGACCTCTCCTACCCCATTAGCTGGTTTCCCCCCACCAACTTTTCCAGTGCTTCTGTGTGTAGAAAAACATAACAAAATTTACCATCTTAACCATTTTTAAGTGTAAAGTGGTATTAAATAAATTGAGAATGTTGTGCAACCATCACCACCATCCATCTCCATAACTTCATCTTGCAAAGCAAATCCTATACCCAATAAACAATAATTCCACATGACCTAACTCCCCGTAGCCCCTGGCAACCACAGTCCTACTTTCTGTCTCTATGACTTTAACTGTTCTTAACTGCTTCTTATCAGATCACACAGTATTTGTCTTTTTGTGACTGGCTTATTTCACTTACCACCCTGTCCTCAAGGTTCACCTATTAACTCTTGCGTTTGATATTTAACATGTTCATACCTATTTCATATTGTAAAACTCCAGCCTCCCTCTATTCCTCATCCTTCTCCAGCCTTAACTTTTCTCCTTGATGGCCAAAAATCTTGTAGAATTTGCTTCTACACACTGAGTCCCACTCCGTATCCTGCTGCAGCCTGACTTCCGCCCCCATTCCTCCCCATTCTTTTATCCAAGCACAACAATGACCTATATGTTGCTAATCAAAAAACACTTTTTACTTACCATACTTAACTCAGTAGTGTTTAACACTGGACAATCCCCCTAACCCCTCTCTTGGGACTACTGTTTTTCTTCTTTCTGGCTACTTCTCAGTCTCCTTGGCAGGCTTCTTTATTCACCTATTACATGTGACTGATTGTTCCTCAACAGCTTTGTCTTTGGGGCCATTTCTTCCCTGTTCTCTACCATGCACAATGTTGTTCACTCCTATGGCTTTCTTTTCTTTCTGCAGGAGACTCCCAAATCTATACCTACCAAGACTCAATTCTTGAAGTCCAGGGTCAAAGAAATAATTGGTCACACGACACTTGGATTTGGGATGTCTTCAAGCAATCCTGAATCAACATTTCCAAAATCGAACCCATCATCTCGTAGTACCACTGAACACCACTGCTCCAACAAACCCACGTTCTGCCCTTCACTCTTCCTCTACCTACCTCATGGCACTACAGTTGTCTGTTGCTCAAGCCAGAAATCTGGGTTCATTGTGAATTCTCTCCCCCTGCTTCCCAACCAATAATCAAGTCCTTTTGTATCTATTATCCATTGCTGTTAACAAATCACCCCAAAACAGTGGCTTAAAATGACATAGGCTTTTTCACCATTCTGATGGTTGCCTGGGTAGCTGTTGGTCTCTCCAGCTCACTCATGCAGCTGCATCCTCCCGGCTGGTGTCTGGGCTCAGCTGAGACAGCTGGTTCCTCCACATATCTTTCATCTGCACAGCATGCTAGGCAGTCTCTGGGTCCAATAGAAAAGAGTAGAAACTATAAGTTTTCTTGAAGTCTTGGCTCAGAACTCCCCTAATGCACTTCTGTCACATTCTTTCAGTCAGAGCAAATTACAAGGCCAGCCCAGATTCCATGGGTGGGGAAATAAACCATCTCCTGATGGGAGGGCCTTAAGATGTCTGTGGCCATTTTTAATCCACAACAGCTATTAATTGTACCTTCTATTGGGTTGAACCAAATGCCATCACTTGACCTTTGTTGACCTACAAAAGCAGCACTTCACATGGTTCAATCTACAATTACTTGAATTCACTCTGATCTATATCCCCATTGTCATTGGTCTAGCTTCCTAACAGGTGCTCCTGCCTCCAGTCAGGTATTTCTGCAGGTCATTTGTTACACAGCTACCAGTGTGATGATTTAACATGAGTCTGCTTATCCCACTCTGCTCCCATATCACCCCCCCTTCCTTTTTCCTTAAGTGCAGACTGGGCCACACGGTGTGGGTTAGGCTCTCCAGACCAGGCGTCGGCTCCACTCCCAGCCTCACTTGCTTTACTTTCCCCCATGTACTCTGCTCCACCTCCACTGTGTTTGATATTAGCTCTTGTGTTGGGCTATGTCTCAGAGAAGTTGGTGATCCTGTGCACATCCCTCCCCAATTTCTCATCTGAGACCATATTTCCTCCCCCAACCCACTGTGAAGGAGGACAAAAATTCAAAGAAACTGCTAGGACTGAAAGGTAAGGTAAAATTTCCTCCAGGGTTCTAGCTAAGATGGGCGTGGGGAAAGACAGACGGTAAGTAATAACAGGAACCTGATGCTGCAGGTGGTCAGGGAGCAGAGGGGAAGTTCAGAGGTCACTGCCTTTGCTCCACTCCAGGGCATCACCTGTGGCCAGTCAGCTGTTCCAAGTCCTGATTTTTTTTTTAAGGTATGATTGATATACACTCTTATGAAGGTTTCACATGAAGAAACAATGTGGTTACTACATTTACCCATATTATCAAGTCCCCACCCACACCCCAATGCAGTTACTGTTCATCAGTGTAGTAAGATGCCACAGATTCACTATGTGCCTTCTCTCTGCTACACTATTCTCCCCGTGATCCCCCAGACCATGTGTACTAAACGTAATACCCCTCAATCCCCTTCTCCCTGCCTCCCGACCCGCCCTCCCACACCCCTCCCCTTTGGTAACCACTAGCTCCTTCTTGGAGTCTCTGAGTCTGCTGCTACTTTGTTCCCTCAGTTTTGCTTCATTGTTACACTCTACAAATCAGGCTAAGTCCTGAGCTCTTGAAGTCTTCCTCCCCAGCAGAGCATGGGAGACTTGGATACCCTGTGCAGGGAGGGGCCTGAGGGGAAACCTGGCCCCTCCACTAAGTTGCTTGCAAACAACCTGTGACCAGGTACAGCAGCTACCATGGTTACATCTCTGTTTGGAACTCTTCTCCTAGTCCTTCCCTTTCTTCTTTTGCTCTTCCTAGTCCTTCCTATTTCACTGGTAAAAATCACTTCTTCAGGAAGGTGTGCTTCATTCCCCTGTGTAATCTCCCCTACCGCCCTGTACCTCCCTTTTCTACATTATTGTGTCAGCAATCTTCTAAAGGTCTTCATGGACTCACTTTGATAAGTGGATTAACTTAAATAAATGAACTTTATCTACTCCTATGAAAAATGTGTTGTCGTTTTACAGATGAGGAAACAGGCACAGAGAGGTTAGATAATCTGTCCTACAATATAGAGCTAGCAAGTAGCAAGGTAGGCTTCATGGCTCTGCAGTCTGACTCTAGAGCCCACCTTCTTAACTGCTGGGCTGTATTTGCCAGTAAGGGTAGGAAGTAGGTCTAAATCAATAATCACTGAATTCCTAGCTGTTAGCAGGATGTGCTGCACAGAGAAATCTGCTCTGTTCATGTGTGTTAACAATAACCCCTCTCTTGGGACTACTGTTTTTCTTCTTTCTGGCTACTTCTCAGTCTCCTTGGCAGGCTTCTTTATTCACCTATTACATGTGACTGATTGTTCCTCAACAGCTTTGTCTTTGGGGCCATTTCTTCCCTGTTCTCTACCATGCACAATGTTGTTCACTCCTATGGCTTTCTTTTCTTTCTGCAGGAGACTCCCAAATCTATACCTACCAAGACTCAATTCTTGAAGTCCAGGGTCAAAGAAATAATTGGTCACACGACACTTGGATTTGGGATGTCTTCAAGCAATCCTGAATCAACATTTCCAAAATCGAACCCATCATCTCGTAGTACCACTGAACACCACTGCTCCAACAAACCCACGTTCTGCCCTTCACTCTTCCTCTACCTACCTCATGGCACTACAGTTGTCTGTTGCTCAAGCCAGAAATCTGGGTTCATTGTGAATTCTCTCCCCCTGCTTCCCAACCAATAATCAAGTCCTTTTGTATCTATTATCCATTGCTGTTAACAAATCACCCCAAAACAGTGGCTTAAAATGACATAGGCTTTTTCACCATTCTGATGGTTGCCTGGGTAGCTGTTGGTCTCTCCAGCTCACTCATGCAGCTGCATCCTCCCAGCTGGTGTCTGGGCTCAGCTGAGACAGCTGGTTCCTCCACATATCTTTCATCTGCACAGCATGCTAGGCAGTCTCTGGGTCCAACAGAAAAGAGTAGAAACTATAAGTTTTCTTGAAGTCTTGGCTCAGAACTCCCCTAATGCACTTCTGTCACATTCTTTTAGTCAGAGCAAATTACAAGGCCAGCCCAGATTCCATGGGTGGGGAAATAAACCATCTCCTGATGGGAGGGCCTTAAGATGTCTGTGGCCATTTTTAATCCACAACAGCTATTAATTGTACCTTCTATTGGGTTGAACCAAATGCCATCACTTGACCTTTGTTGACCTACAAAAGCAGCACTTCACATGGTTCAATCTACAATTACTTGAATTCACTCTGATCTATATCCCCATTGTCATTGGTCTAGCTTCCTAACAGGTGCTCCTGCCTCCAGTCAGGTATTTCTGCAGGTCATTTGTTACACAGCTACCAGTGTGATGATTTAACATGAGTCTGCTTATCCCACTCTGCTCCCATATCACCCCCCCTTCCTTTTTCCTTAAGTGCAGACTGGGCCACACGGTGTGGGTTAGGCTCTCCAGACCAGGCGTCGGCTCCACTCCCAGCCTCACTTGCTTTACTTTCCCCCATGTACTCTGCTCCACCTCCACTGTGTTTGATATTAGCTCTTGTGTTGGGCTATGTCTCAGAGAAGTTGGTGATCCTGTGCACATCCCTCCCCAATTTCTCATCTGAGACCATATTTCCTCCCCCAACCCACTGTGAAGGAGGACAAAAATTCAAAGAAACTGCTAGGACTGAAAGGTAAGGTAAAATTTCCTCCAGGGTTCTAGCTAAGATGGGCGTGGGGAAAGACAGACGGTAAGTAATAACAGGAACCTGATGCTGCAGGTGGTCAGGGAGCAGAGGGGAAGTTCAGAGGTCACTGCCTTTGCTCCACTCCAGGGCATCACCTGTGGCCAGTCAGCTGTTCCAAGTCCTGATTTTTTTTTTAAGGTATGATTGATATACACTCTTATGAAGGTTTCACATGAAGAAACAATGTGGTTACTACATTTACCCATATTATCAAGTCCCCACCCACACCCCAATGCAGTTACTGTTCATCAGTGTAGTAAGATGCCACAGATTCACTATGTGCCTTCTCTGTACTACACTATTCTCCCCGTGATCCCCCAGACCATGTGTACTAAACGTAATACCCCTCAATCCCCTTCTCCCTGCCTCCCGACCCGCCCTCCCACACCCCTCCCCTTTGGTAACCACTAGCTCCTTCTTGGAGTCTCTGAGTCTGCTGCTACTTTGTTCCCTCAGTTTTGCTTCATTGTTACACTCTACAAATCAGGCTAAGTCCTGAGCTCTTGAAGTCTTCCTCCCCAGCAGAGCATGGGAGACTTGGATACCCTGTGCAGGGAGGGGCCTGAGGGGAAACCTGGCCCCTCCACCAAGTTGCTTGCAAACAACCTGTGACCAGGTACAGCAGCTACCATGGTTACATCTCTGTTTGGAACTCTTCTCCTAGTCCTTCCCTTTCTTCTTTTGCTCTTCCTAGTCCTTCCTATTTCACTGGTAAAAATCACTTCTTCAGGAAGGTGTGCTTCATTCCCCTGTGTAATCTCCCCTACCGCCCTGTACCTCCCTTTTCTACATTATTGTGTCAGCAATCTTCTAAAGGTCTTCATGGACTCACTTTGATAAGTGGATTAACTTAAATAAATGAACTTTATCTACTCCTATGAAAAATGTGTTGTCGTTTTACAGATGAGGAAACAGGCACAGAGAGGTTAGATAATCTGTCCTACAATATAGAGCTAGCAAGTAGCAAGGTAGGCTTCATGGCTCTGCAGTCTGACTCTAGAGCCCACCTTCTTAACTGCTGGGCTGTATTTGCCAGTAAGGGTAGGAAGTAGGTCTAAATCAATAATCACTGAATTCCTAGCTGTTAGCAGGATGTGCTGCACAGAGAAATCTGCTCTGTTCATGTGTGTTAACAAGTGAAAAAGGAATATGTTTTACATATTTTCTTTAAAAACTATGCTAATGTTGCTCATGTAATTGTACATTAATGATACCAAAATTAAAAAAAGAAAAAGTTTTGGAAAAAAAAACTATGCTATCACTTTTTCATGCATTTTTTAAATTTTGGTATTAATATACAATCACAAGAGCAACATTGTGGTTACTAGACTCCCCCCACTATCAAGTCCCCACCACATACCCCATTATTACAGTCACTGTACATCAGTGTAGTAAGATGCTATAGAGTCACTACTTGTCTTTGTGCTATACATTTTCATGCAATTAAAATTTTTTTTCTTATAAATTAGCCATTTGATCTTTGTGGACCAAATGCAAACTTGGTCTGGCCCCTGCCATTATTTCTAAGTTATCTTTCTGAATCCTTACAGCACTCCTCTATCCCCAGCCCCTCCCTCCTGTTGCTTCCCTTAGTGGCATCACCACCGGGGAGAAGGAGCTGTAGTTTTGAGGGCAATCGTCATCCTATCATGCCTGGTCCCACTGGAAGCGCAAGCACTGTGAACCCCTGCACCCATTCAGACGAATGATAACGCCACAGAACCTGGCATGACTATTAAGAGATGGCTATTTGCCGATTGCTAACTCTTTTGATTCGTTCACTCCCTAATCCTACATTTTTAAAATTTAGGTATTATTGATATACACTCTTATGAAGGTTTCACATGAAAAACAATATGGTTACTACATTTATCCGTATTACCGAGTCCCCCCCATACCTCATTGCAGTCACTGTCCATCAGTGTAATAAGCTTAATCCTACATTTTTTATTGTGCCCCTGCTATGGGCGACGTGCTGGGAAGCCAAAGGTGAGCAAAACAGTAATGATCCCTGCTCATGGGGCTCACGGTTGAGTGACAGAGATGGAACCATCATGTGTTCAGGCCATTCCACACAAGACAAGACTAGCCCTGTCAGCGTCTCAGCCGGATTCAGGCCCAAATGCCAGTAAGAAAGTGCCCTGGGAGGGCTAGTGCCTTCCGCTGACTGGCTGGCTCGCCCTTTCGACTAGAAGGTGCCGGTCAAGTCCCAGATCCCAAGACAGGCAGCCCCTCCTGCCTTGGTTTATGGTTTTGTCGCCCAGGGTTTTCTGGAATTGGGTTGCCCTGAATTCAAATCCCAGATTTACCACATAGTAGGCCATATGATCCTAGGAAAGTGAACTTCTCTAAACCTCAATTTCCTTATTTGTGAAATGGAGATAAGAGAAATGCTACACCCAGAGACGAGGTGAGGCCGGAGGACAGCCTCGGCGGGGCGCGGGATGGTGACGACAGCGCCAGACGGAAGTGGCGTCATGTCCGCGCCTCGCCGCCTCCGGTCATGTGGGTGACGTCTCCCGCCGCCAGCGGGCGCAGAGCGCGTATTGGCGAACTGTGCGGTGAATTTTTTCGTGAGTGGGCCTTCTCTCTTCTCCGGACCATGGCCACCGACTCGTGGGCCCTGGCAGTGGACGAGCAGGAAGCGGCTGTCAAGTCGGTCAGTGGCTTCAGCTCCCTGCGGGGGAGCGAAGCAGGGGCCCAACGGACTCTCATTCGAGCCCAGGGAGCCACCGGGTGGACAGGCCTGTGGCCCTCAGGCCCCGAGAGTTTGCCTCGGGAAATCACTTAGCCTAGATTCGCGCCTAGTGCTAGAGAGACTAATATCGAGCTTTTTCTGTACGTCTGGGCCAGTTAGAAACTTTTTTATCCTGTGGCAGTTCTGTCCCCACTTTGCTTACTCTTTCCTGTATTGTACCTCTTTCTCATTGGGGACTGTGTTGTAAAGAAAGACACAATGAGATGCTGATTCTTTTAATCTGTTTTCTGAGTGATACTGTACTACTGTTATTTTAACTTTTTTTTTAAGATCCGTGCTTAACATGGTTGACAGTTTATAGTTCTGTGCAGAATAACATTCAGGTGTAGATTCAGTGTTTCAATGCACTGCAGATGTTGGTGGGAGGCACTACAGATTGTTTCATTGATGTTTAAAGTGACATTTAGTTTCATATACTGGTTCTTCGATTAATGGAAATCAATTCAATTAGAAGGCAATTAAAGCGTAAACTGAGTTTTATATTCTGTTCTGTTCTTTAGGTTTGTTTAGTAAGAATGGATTACTTATTTTAAGAGTATTTTTTTTGGTAGTGGTGTTATATAATTTTTTAAATGCCTAAGTTAACATTTTTTCTTGTCACCCTTTATTACTTTGGGTGGATTGTCAGTTTGTCAGACATTTGAAATGCTCTAAATCCAGAGTACAGGAAGACGTCTGCTTTACAGTCTAGTTGGGAAGGCAAGAATGTGGGAAGTGCTGTGAAAATGGAAAAAATAATGTGATCAGTGAGCTCTGAGTGGGGAGAGAATGTTTATAAGTAGGAAAAATATAGAAATTCCTTGTGAAGATGTCTGCATTTTGAGCTGGGTATTAGAAAACGGGGTATTTAAGATAGACATGGATGTGAAAAGCATTTTAGAAGGGGATGCACAAAAGTGCTAGATTTGCCTAGAGAACAGGAATCAACTCATTTTTGCTGCATTTTATGATTACTGGGTTGTGGTAGGAACTGTCTAGAAAATGCTGTAGGACGTCTACTTTTGACCCAACGAGGAAAGGCTTTACCTGGTGGGTTTGGGGATTTTTAAAAAGGATACTGACAAGATTAGACCTAAGAGCTTTCGAGATTTATCAGACTGCAAAGCAGAATATATTAGGAATGGTATCTGAAGGAAAGGAGATTAATGTGAAAGTGACTTTAAAAGCCCAGAGATAGAAGCTTATGTTGGGCAGTGAAAGTAAAGATGAAGGGATGGATTCAAGAGATCGTTGTGGTGGTGTAATGGGCAGGAGTTAGAAAAAAGGAGAAAGGAGAGATAAAGGCAAAGATTCCCATTTACAACTTGGATCGGACAGATGCTATTAGTCAAGTGCTTATAATGGGATTAGGGAAGTGGGAGGAAGGGCAGATTTGGTATGGAAGACAGTGAGTGTGGGTCTGGCTGCTGTAAATTTGAGGTAAGGAGTACCTCTTGGTAAGTATCTGTATTGGGAGTCCCCAAGAGGTGTCCAATTCAGTGATTTCCTAGGAGGACTCACAGGACACAGCATATAGTTGTACTCATAGCTGTGATATATTAACAGTGGAAAAATAGAAGCCAAAATTAGTGAAAGGAAAGGAACATTGTCTTGCCAATGGGTTTCAGCCCCAGGCAAGTTCACTATGAATTCGGTGAGACCGAAGAATGACAATGGAACATTCTTGGGGTAAAAAGGTTTATTACCCGGCTTTGTTCTCCCTGAATAGGCTGAGCACTGGAATTACATCTGCATCCAACAGTCTGCAGGTCTATAATCCTCATTGTCTCTACCTCTGCCTAGAGCAGCTCTTTATATAGTGACTCAGTCAATAATAACTTATTGCCTAGGGTGTGGAAGCAGCAGCCTAGCAGTAGGCCAGTTACATCATCAAGTAGTTTAGGTTCAGCTGAGGATCCTGGCCACAGGAACTTCCATTTTCCCTACAAACATGGGGCAATGTCCAGAGGAAACTAGGTACAAGCTTCCAAGAGTCCTCTTGCAGTGGAGTTACATACTCCAGCAGAAAACTAACAACACATGTAAAGTATTTTCCAGGAAGCTCATTAGAAACTCAGCGCTTAAGGGTTTTATTGTAAGACTGCACGAAGTCCCCTCTGCCTAGCACGTATTAAAATTCCAGACTCCCAGTGGATAAGTTCTGTGATAACATAACTTCCCTTATGTGTGCCAACCTTCCCACTGGTCTTCAGGTAACGGTGTCCACTCCCAGAAGTGTGTTAATCTGATTTTTCTCTGGACAACCTGGTTTCTAAAGAAATAAGATGGATATCCCTACTGTGTAAAGGTGGACTTCCTTCTCCCAAAGACGAGGAACAGGGTCAGTTGAAGGAAGGGCGAAGAGAAGCCCTCAGAAAATACTAATAGCTAATGAATGATCGCATCAGTTCAGGGATCTTGGGGGCAGGGCATGGAGCCTAGGGCTTGAGTTAGGGTATTTCTCCCAGCCTAACAACATACCTTTATAATACCATCTTTATACACACCCTCATTCTTAATACTAAATAGAAACAATAGTTCTTATGAAGTTGGAGACTTTGTTACAAATTTTTAAATGATTGCTGTGCTTGCAATTTCTTATGCCATTATAAGCAAATTTGTATTGATTAGGAGTAGTGACCAAAATAAGTGAGAAAGCCTTTGTTCAGGTTTCTGAAATATTTTCAAGTCAGGAGCTTGGGTTTGTCAATTCTTGCATCATAATAAATAACTTTTTTCCTAACTTACAGCAGAGGTGCTTGATAAGACAAGAAGACTAATTTATTTGCTAAGCATGACTTTAGTATGGTGTGGGTTTGGGGGCTAAAGAGAAAAGAGCTTATTTGATAGAGTTGATGCTGGGGTTCTTGTTTGCAGAGTTGAAGAATGAATTTAGCAAACACTCAAGGTAGGAGAGCCAGAGAGAGGCTTTTATTTAGAGAGAAGGTGAGAGGACAGAGCTCCTGGCTCATGCCATGAGGGGACAAGAGAGACCGTAGTTGTGGGTTTTCCAGGGGTTTTATAGGTAGTTGGGAATATGATAAAGGGCTTAGGGTTGTAGATTTGTTAAGTGGTCCTTGAATATTTAAAATTAACTTAACACAAGAAATTTACTGCTCTGATTTTTCCCTGAGATACTGGTGTCTTGATCTAGGAGCATATCAAACAAGACCGCCTGCCCAGCCCCCAAGGTGGGCTGAGGTATTGTTTGTTTGCTAAAGAATAAGTTAAGAATCATTAAAATGCAATCTTATTTTTAAAATGGAATCCTTCCTGTCTTTTACTATGTTGTTTATGGCTGGGCTTGCTTTGCCATTATTAATTGCTGAGATTGCAAATCACCTCATCAGGTCTGAAGGAGGAAAGATAGCAGCCCATAGGCCTGCGCCTTTTAGCACGCTAAAGTGAATCTTACCCATGATTGCAAACGATTAGCATAATAAAAACGTGGGCTACTTTCTTTTGTCTGGGGACTAGTAACTGATCTCACTGAAGAATGACTCTAGAGCTTCATATTTAACAGAGTTTTGGTAGGGGGTTTCCTTGCATGTAGTTACATTGCTCTGACTGTAAATATGCTGCCTTGCTTTTTCCAGAGGCCCTCACCCTTCTCTGACTACACTCACGGTCCCTGTCTCATAGTTAGATGGTATTGTTCTTCACTGTGTCTGGAAAGGAACTGTGTTTGTGCCATTGAAAGGATATTGCAGATATAACGAAGGTTAGATGTTCTAGAAAGAGCATAGTTGGAAGAAAAGCCGAGTTTTGAGACTGCTGTCATACTTTTCCTCCCAACTATTACATTTCGTCCTCCTCCAGAAAGTCTCCTTTCAAGGCTTTTGAAGATATATGAAATTGTGTTTTCATCCAAGGTTTTAGCAATTTTGCAGGATAAACCAACTCCCTGAATATAGGTGCTCAACTAGTTCCTACTAGATTCACTACAGAACTTATCTTTGCTCAAAGGAATATCTTTGATTGGGTCCTTTGCTTAACTCTTGTTTCTTCTTACTCACATTTAGATGAGTAATTTGCAAATCAAGGAAGAGAAAGTCAAACCAGATACTAATGGTAAGTCACTTGTAATAACCACAAGCTAGATACAAGCTGCACGTGCACTTCTGCTTTGCACTCATAGCTGCAATGTGAAAAGGAGCTTTCATTTAACATAATGTTTGGCAAATGACAACACTGAATTTGAGAACCAGTAAATTCAGTTTCATTACTAACAGGGACATGTTAGTTTTCCAGATTTTTTTCTAGCCTCTGACTTTTTATAAAAAAATCATCGGATTGTACTGCCACTATTCACTTACAATGTTTCTTTAAAATTTTTTTATTTAATTATTTGAAAAGTTAATTTGGGTTTAAAACCAAGAAGTATGAACAGTTAAAGGCCTCCTTCCCATCCTGGGCCACCATTTACACAGTTCTCACTCCCCATCTGTATTAATTTGCTAGGGCTGCTGTGACAGGAGTATCACAGACTGAGGGTTTAAACAACAGAATGTAGTCTCACAGTTCCTGAGGCTGGAAGCCTCAGAGCAAAATGTCTGCAGGGTTGGTTCCTTCTGAAGGTTCTGAGGAAGAATCTACTCCAAGGTTCTGAGGAAGAATCTACTCCTAGCTTCTGGTGGCTTGCTGGCCGTCTTTGGTGGTCCTTGGCTTTAGAAGCATCACCTCCTCTCTGCCTTCATCTTTACGTGAGGTTCCCCATGTGCATGTCTATGTCCTTATATCCTTTTTTTGAAAGGACACTGGTACTGTTGGATCAGGACCCACCCTAATGACCTCACCTTAACTAATTATATCTGTAACGACCCTCTCTCCAAATAAAGTCACATGCCGAGGTACTAAGGGGTAGAACTTCACCTGTGAATTTGGAGGGTGGGTGTGGAGGGGGACACAGTTCAACACAGAACATCACCCTGTCCTCTAATTAACCACCGTTACTGGATTTTTAATATTCTTCCAGAGTGTTTCTGTGCAAAGCAAATACAAAGACAGGTTTTAATCAAAAGGTGGTGTAGTATACATACACAGTGTAGTTTTGTTTTTGAGCTAACAACATACCTTGGCAAGCTTTCCATGTCAGTACATGGAGTTCTTGCACTTTTTTTTATAACTTCGTAGTATTGCATTATGTTGCTACACCATCAGTTATTTAACTTGTCACCTATTGATAAACATTTGGGTTGGTCCCATTCTTTTGCTGTTATAAACAGTGCTTCATGGAATAATTATGAACTTAAATCTTTGCATATGTATGCCACTGTGTTTGCAGGATAACGTCCCCAAAAGTAGATTTGATTGCTCAAAAGTATATGCATTTGTAATTTTTATCAGTATTTTCAAGGTACCTTCTATTAGTATTATGCCAATTTATACTTGCATCAGCAAAGCATGAGAGTGTCTGTTTTCCCTATATCCTCAGCACTGAAATTTTAGTCACAAACTTTAGGAATCTTGCTGATCTGGTAGGTAGAAAAATGGCAGATTGACATAATGTATTTTAATTTGTGTTTCATGCAGAAGGTTGAATGTTTTTCATAAGTCTAATACAAGAATTTCTATTTCCTTTTTGTGAGTTAACTATTTGTATCATTTACCCATTTTTCTATTGGATTTTTTGTCTTTCCTCTAAATATTAAGAACTTTTCATATTTTTGGGTTAACTCTTTAACTGTGATATAAGTTGCTAATACTATTACCAGTTTGTCTTTTGTCTTTGTTTCTTGTGTATTTCTGCTCTGCAAACATTTTTATACAATCAGACATAGCAGTCTTTCACAGTATTGTTTCTGGAATTGAGACGGGTTTTAATCCTTTTAGAATTTATCTTGAGAGATATGCCTCCAACTTGTGTTTTTCTAATGTGTTTCACCTTTCTTATATCCAGATGGCTACATAAATTTGTTTCTGTGCCATTTTTTAATAGTCCATTTTTCTTGTCTAGTTTGATAGTCACCTGTATAATAGACTAAATTCTGCATTTTCTCATCTATCCTATCAGTCTCTTTTGCATATTCATGTACCAGAATCATATTCCTCATTTCTGAAGCATTATGACGTGTTTTAGTATCTGGAAGTGCTGTTCTCCACTCATTGCTCTTTTTCAGAGTTTTCCTGGCTATTGTGGTTTAGTTTCCATATGTATTTTAGGACCAACCCGACCAGTTTTAAGAAAAAAGAATCTCCTGGTATTTCTACTGGGACCATTTTGCATTTATAATTTGATATGTGCTCTTGAGTCTCATTAGAAAACTATGGCATGTCTTTCCATTTTCTTCAGATCCCTTTCTATGCCCTTTAGGAATATTTTAGTAACTGTAGGATCTGTGATACCACTACTTTCCTTTGTAGTACTTGTAACTTGTGTTCCCTTTTTTCATGATGAATTTACCTAGAGATTTATCAGATTTTTTTTAACTTTTCAGAGAATCCACTTTTGGCAATGCTAATTTTCCTTATTGCTTGTTTTCTATTTCACCGATTTCTACTCTCCATTGATTGCTTCTGTTTACTTTTCTTCTTCAGCATACAATTCAAAATACCTTGTTTTCCCTTGTGATTTCATCATTGACTCATGGAGTATTTAGAAGTTTGTTGCTTAATTTCCAATGCTTGGAGGTTTTCTAGATATCTTGTTAATTTCTAATTTAACCTTATTTTGTTCAGAAAGTATAGTCTGTAGGATTTCAGTCCACTTAAATTTATTTAGTCTTTTGTGGCCCAGCGTATGACCTATCTCAGTGATTAATCCAAAAGGAGGCACAGTTTTGGGTTAACAAGAATTCTTGAAAATATGTGTTCTGCGGTTATTATGAACAGTGTCTATAACAATTAGGCTGGTGAACTTGATAGTATTGTTTAGATCTTCTATGTCTTGTTTGTTTTTTGGTTTCTTTTAGTTTTTGAAGGAGAAGCGTTAAAATTTCCAACTACAGTTGTGAAATAGTCTGGTTTTCCCATTAATTCTGTCATTTTGGCCTCTTGTGTTTTACAGATCTGTTATCAGGTATATACACATTTGTCTTCCTGATGAGTGGATGCTTGTATTGGGAATACTCCTCTTTTTCTCTGGTGATGCTTTTTGTCTTGAAGTCTGCAGCCACTCTAGCCTTCTTATGCTTCCTGGCTATATGATATATGTCTGTCCGTTCACTGACTGTTAGCTTTTTTTGTGTCTATATTTAAAGCGTGCTTCTTGTAGACAGCTTACATTTGGATCTTGCTTTTTTACCTGTTCTAGTAATCTTTTTAATTGGCGTATCTTATCCATTTACTTTTCTTTTTTAATATTCCCTTCACCCTTTCCTCCTACCCTCAACCCCTCACCTTGGTAACTGCCAATCTGTTCTCTGTATCTATGAGCTTGTTTTTTGTCCTTTTTTTTTAGATTCCACAAATAAAGAGAGATCATAAGGTATTTGTCTTTCTCTGACTTATTTCACTTAGCATAAAGCCCTGGAGGTCCATCCATTTTGTCATAAATGACAACATTTCATTCTTTTTTTATGGCCAAAAGTATTCCAGTGTGTGTGTGTATACACATACCACAATTTCCTTATCCATTCATCCATCAATGGACACTTAGGTTGTTTCTGTATCTTGGCTGTTGTAAATAATGTTGTAGTGAACATGGGGTTATGTGTATCTTTCTGAGTTAGTGTTTTTGTTTTCTTCAGATAAGTAGCCAGAAGTGGAATTGCTGGATTATATGGTAGCTCTATTTTTGTTTTTTTGAGGAATCTCAAAACATAGGAGTGCATATATCCTTTCAAGTGATTTTGTTTTCTTCAGATAAATTCCTAGAAGTGGAATTACTGGGCTGTATGGTATTTCTATTTTCAATTTTTTTGAGGAACCCTCACACTATTTTCCACAGTGGCTGCACCAGTTTACATTCCCACCAGCGGTGTAGGAGGGTTTCCTTGGCTCTACATCCTCACCCAACACTTGCTATTTCTTGTCTTTTGGATAGTGGCCATTCTGATTGGTGTGAGGTGATATCTCATTATGGTTTTGATTTACATTTTTCTGATGATTAGTGATGTGGAGCTTTTCATGTGTCTGTTGCCCATCTGTATGTCTTCTTTGGTAAAACGTCTATTCAGGTCCTCTGCCCATTTTTTAATTGGGTTATTTGTTTTGTTGGTGTTGATTAGTATGAGTTCTTTATATTTTTTGGATATTAGCTCCTTGTCAGATATATCTTTGTGAATACATTCTCCCATACAGTAAGTTGCCTTTTCATTTTGTTGATGGCTTCCTTTGCTATGCAGAACTTTTTTAATTTGGTATAATTTCACTTGTTTATTTTTGTTTTTGGTGTCAGATTAAAAAAATTATCACCAAGATGTATGTCAAGGAGTTTACCACCTGTTTTCTTCTAGGAGTGTTATGGTTTCAGGCCATATGTTCAAGTCTTTAATCCATTTCAAGTTAATTTTTGTATATTGTGTGAGAAAGTATCTCAGTTTCATTCTTTTGCATGTGGCCGTCCAGTTTTCCCAACACAGTTTATTGACGAGACTGTCCTCTTCCCATTATCTACACTTGGGTCCTTTGTTATAAGTTAATTGACCACATATGAGTGGGTTTAGTTCTGGACTCTGTTCTGTTGCAGTGATCTATGTGTCTGTCTTTATGCCGGTACGATACTGTTTTAATTACTATAGCTTTGTGATATAGTTTGAAATCAGGGAACATGGTGTCTCAAGCTTTATTCTTCTTAATATTGCTTTGGCTATTCAGGGTCTTGTATTCCCATACAAATTTTAGTGTTATTTATTCTGCTTCTGTGATGAATTCCATTGAAATTTTAATGAGGACTGCATTGAATCTGTAGGTTGCTTTGGGTAGTATGGACATTTTAACAATATTGATTCTTCCAACCCATGAATGTCTTATAGTTTTCAATATACAGGTCTTTCACTTCCTTGGTTAAATTTATTCCTAGGTATTTTATTCTTTTTGCAATTGTAAATGGGTTGTTTCCTTAATTTTCTCTTTCTGATAGTTTATTATTGGTGTATAGAAAAGCAACAGGTTTTTGTATATGATTTTATATCTAAAACTTGACTGAATTCATTTATTAGTTGTAGCAGTTTCTGTGTCCTTAAGGTTCTCTCCATATACTGTCACGTCGTCTCAAATAGTGACAGTTTTACTTCTGCCTCACCAGTTTTGAAGCCTTTTGTTTCTTTTCCTTGTATCCATTTACATTTAATGTAATTATTAATATGGTGGGTTTCGTTAGCAATTTTACTATTTGCTTTCAGTTTGTTTTCTCATGTTTTGTTTCTCTACCTCTCTTTTCCTGCCTCCTCTTTTGGGTTAAGTGAATACCTTAGAATTCCACTTTATCTATTGGCTTTTTAACTATACATCTTTTCATTATTTTATGAGTATTTTTAAACTTTTTTTCATATAAGTCTTACATATTTTTTTGTTGACTATTTCTAGGAGTAGTAGTTGCTAGTTTTTAGATCTTTTTAGGTCCTATTACAAATAGGATCTTTTCTATTATATCTATATTTACAAAAGCTACTAATCTGTATTTTGTACCTAGCTTTTTTATGTTTTACAGAGGTATCTTATTTTATGGTCATTTTTAAGTTGCTACTCTTTGTCCTACAGGCTTAGAATCATATCTACAAAAAGTGATCATTTTACTTCTTAATTTTTAATACCTTTATTTTCTTTCTCATGTCTGATTGTGTTTGCTAACATAATGCTATGTTTTAAATTAGGTTAAGTAAATCAGAGGTGACATATTCCAGTCACTCTGAAGTCACCCAAAATTTCTAGAAATTCAAAATTTTCTTAGGTATTTTGAAACTTTCTATGAGTAAAAATCATTAAACATAAAGAAATGCCAAATATTTGTATCTTGATCACTTAAATAAGGTTTAGTATTTACATTGTCCCACATTTGGAGGGGTTTGGTATTTGTCTTCCTGATTATGACAACTGTTTTCTTGTGTAGGTGTTGTCAAAACCAGTGCTACTGCAGAGAAAACAGATGAAGAAGAGAAAGGTAACTACTCTTTGAAACCCTGTAGCAAGAGACAGTGTGTGACTCAGACTTGCCTTTCTTTCTGGAGCCAGAGGCACTCTGAGTTGTAAGATCAAGGCGATGAGGCAAAATCAGCAAAGGGGACTGAGAAGCAGTTGGTGAGCTAGAAGGAGACCCAAAGGAGAGTGGCACCCTAGAAGCCATAAGTAGAAAGTGTTTCAAAGTAGAGGGCCAAACATAAGTAATAAGTTGACTAAGAAGAGCTAAAAATTGACTGCTCAATTGATTTAGTGGTGTAGAAGTCATTGGTGAGCTCCACAAGGGCTGTTGAGGTCAAGTGGGGAGGTGAAATAAAAAAGCCTGTTCAGTGTACATTGAACGGAGAAGTGTGGGGAGAGGAGGTGGAGACACTGAGCACAGATGGCCTTTTTAAGGAATGTCCCATGAAGAGGACCAGAGAAATGGGGTAGGAACTGGATGGGGATGTGGAGTAAAGAGGAATCGTGTTATTGATGAGAGATGGTAAAACATGTTCACTTGCTGGTGGGAAGACTCCAGTGGAGGAAGAAACCAGTAATGCGAGAGGGTGAGTGTCGGGAGAAATACCCATGTAGGCAAGAAGGGATGGAAACTGTTGGGCAAGTGGAGTGGCTAGCCTGTGGAGGCCGGCCCAGGCTGTCACCCGGAGTTACAAGAGGGGAGTGGAGAATGTGCACAAATGCAGGCAGGAGTGTAGGTGTCTCGTTTCCGTGTGTGGAAGTGTTTCTGATGATTTTTTTCTTCTTAATGAAGTTAGGAACAGGGTCATCAAATGAGTGACACTGTGGAGGGATTACAGGTTCAGGAAGAGAGGAGAAGGTATAGGTGGAGGTCTGAGGGGGAGAAGAGGGAGACTCCTTGGGCAGCTCGGCCTGTTTGAACCTAGTGGTCAGGAATTTAAAGTGAGATCTGTCAGTGATTGTTTTTCTCCAGCCATGCTTGGCTGCTCAGGTGCTGGTGCAGAGTTGGAGAGAGAGAACTTTCCCAAGGGTGGGATTTACCAGATGACTATGAAGAAAATCTGGTTTCTCTTTGACAGAGGACAGAGCTGCCCAGTCCTTACTCAACAAGCTGATCAGAAGCAACCTTGTGGATAACACAAACCAAGTGGAAGTCCTGCAGCGGGACCCAAACTCCCCGCTCTACTCAGTGAAGTCCTTTGAGGAGCTTCGGCTGTGAGTATTTGTTCCTTTGAACGGCTGTGCCTTGCCAGTCCCTCCTTTCCAGAACTTAGAATCTCAGAGATCATGTAGCAATTCTGCTTTTTACTTTTATTTTTAAAAAATCTTAATGTATTTACTTCTTTGATTACATAATAATTCATGAGATTCAAAAGTCATAAAGTATGAAAAAGTTCACAGTGAAAGTCTCCCTCCCACCCTTGTCTCTTGGCTACCCAATCCTCCTCCTCTTGGGAGGGATTTTTAAATGCCACAGATATATTTGTCATAGCTGAGAGTCTTTTTTCTTTTATGCTCTTAGAACTTTCAATAAAATATTGGCTGACAGGTGATTTCTGGATGTCAGGAACATTTATTAGGTAAGCTCTTTTGTTAGACTATAGGGTTTATGGTCTTAAGAACAGTTTATCTGCTTTTATAAAATCTGTCAAAAGAGCCTGTGCAGGATTCCCAGTACCTACAGTGGACAGTAGCCTTCAACATTCCAGAATTTTAAAAAAGAATTCCAGCACCCAGATGTAAGCTTTAAGGAAGCACATTTATGGCACTGTGCTAAGAATGACTTCTGCCATGTCATTGTTTTAAAGGTAGAAATTATGAAAAGTCATACCAAGTTTTTGTCCTTCAGAAAGTTAGCAAAGAGGTATTTATGGATCATTGGTTTATGTTCATGCTACTCTGTTGGGTGTTATGATTTACACAAGACATAACTATCATTCTTGTTGCCTGTCAGGACCTACATCATAGACAGAAAATAGCTGGTGAATAAGAAAGTGGTGGAATAAACAGATTTCTTGCCTTTGTTCAGCAAAATCTAGTGTGGGCAAATAGGAGCCACATTCCTGCCAACTATTAACACTACTTTACTGTGAGAGACAGTTAAAATAGGAGTGCTGACTAGAACTAAGTCAAGTTGTTAATGAAGTAATAGCTAAGAACAAATTTTAAATTTTTCTTAAAGTGTGGCCTTTTTTTTTAATGTTTTCAGGAAATCATACTTCTCTGTGTATTTCCTCAGGGGCTTTATTCAGCAAATCTCTCACCTCTCCTTCCATTCATAAACTGTATCAGGGAAGCTAGATATACCCTGTTGTTTCTCAAATGCACAGTTTGCTTTCCCAAATATCAGTGATTATTCAAAACCACTTTTATGTAAAGGACCTGAGCTCTCAGTCCAACCTGTGATGAACTGTCTGCTTTGAAAAGGCAGGTTCTCTCTGATCTGGTACGTGTAGCCAGAGAAAACAAAGAATGAGACCTAAGGGTACCTAAAAGATTTGGTCTGTTTTGTACTTAAAATTTTTGAATTCATCTATACACTACAAGAAAAATAATGAGCCACTGGAAGCTCTTGGATCAGGTGGATCCTCATTCTGTAATGACTTCGTTTCCTTGGTATCCAAATCAGAATCTGCTGAGCTAGCCTTTTCTTGCAAACGGAAGACATCCCAGGTTACGTTTCCAGAGTTCTCTGTTTCAGACAACCAGCATATGCCCAAAGAATTTGCCTTTTAGAGAGCTTTTAAACTCCAAGGAAGCCTGAGAGAAGTCTTGACTTGGTTTGACTTTTGTTTAGAACAATCTGGTGTGATTTTTTTGAACACCCTGTCGATTTAGAGGTAGCAGAGAGCTTGTTGTAAATGCAATGTAAGAGCAACTTTAATTGGTATTTTTGATGTAGCTACTTATGTAAGAAGTTGGTGCTTTTCTAGTCTTGATTTTGACTAGATGTAATGATACAGTATGAGAATTTGTAAAGTTCGGTATGATAACTGAACCCTCCTTACCTATTGACTATAGATCTGCTACTAGAAACTGGCTGAATCACTTTTCTTGCCTCTTGTCCTGATTGTTTGCATAGATGGCTTTGGAAGGACCACGGAACACAGAATGTCTGTGGTTCAACATAACATCTGCCCTGAGAAATTAAAACTGAATCCGATTCCATACAGAAACTTCTATATCTTGGTCTAAAGGGTCTTAAGCTTACTATACCATGTACATACTTAGTGTGGTAAGCAGTGTTTATTTTTAGATATGTCTTTTGTAATTTATACTGTGAATTAATAAATACCACTCTTGTGATATCAGGGAACATTTGTCATCCAAGGCCAACCATATTTGTGGGTCTGCTGAAACATGAATTTCTTCAACAGAGGAACTAGCCTGTATTGTATGAATCACATAATGGTTGCAGATGAAGATTTGGTAGGGAAAGGTGGTGTTTTGGTTTTGCTTTCAGTAGTGCTTCTTAATAGGAAAATCTGTCTGATAGAGATAGGAAACATTTTTCATTGCTAGTTATAAGGAAGGATAAAGTTCTAGACTTTTAAAACAATTTCAACAGTGAGGAATTCATCTTTTTTCTCCCTGGCCTCCTAGGAAACCGCAGCTTCTCCAGGGAGTCTATGCCATGGGTTTCAATCGACCATCCAAGATACAAGAGAACGCGTTACCTATGATGCTCGCTGAGCCGTGAGTATGCAGACCCCAAGTGAACTGCTTCAGAATTTAGTTTAAAGTCTTCCACCAACAACTGTTACTGTTCTTGAGAACAAGATGGGGTGTTTGGGGCAACACGTTCCTTCAGGGAAACAGCTTGGGCAAGTACAGAGAGAGTCAGGTAGAATTTGGTATAGTTTCTGCCTTTCCCACTTAACAATAAAAACTGATAGATGCAAATTTTAAAATTGGGTTTCTAAAAATTACTTTGAAATTTTTGAAATATGCATAAAGGTGTCAAACAATACCAAGAACATCTGTTATCCTCTCCTGCCAAGAAATGCAACATCATCAATCTAGTTGACACTTGAAGCCACTGAGTGGCCCTCTTTCTTCCTTCAGCCCTCTCCCTAACCCAAGTAAAAGTCATCCTGGAATGGGTTATCATTCTGACATTTCTTTATACTTTTACTACATATCTGTGTGTCCCTAACACTCTAAAGAGTAGTTTACATAATTTTAAACTTTACATAAATGATATCATACTTTATGTAGCAACTTCTTCATTCAACTTTTTCTTTTTTAATGACAAAAAATGCCACCTATTCCTATGACAATGGGTTACATGAAATTAAATGTCAAAGTTCCTCTGAAGTATCTCTCTGACTTGGTGTGTTACATTTTCTATAAAGATTGGGAAAGGAGACACAGGAGGAGCAGAGGCCTGGAGATACATTGTGGCTCAGCAGTGTCCTTGGGGTTTTGTCTTGGCACAAATCTTCCCCTGATATTTTAACTTCCATGGAGCCCTTAGGGTATAAAACTAGGGCACTCCTGCTGTGCTACAATGAGAATTTCTTGGTGGGAGCCCATCTAAAACAATCATTATTTCCCTTAATATTTAGGGAGTTTTTTGTAACAACATATCGCTGTGTTCAATGTGGAAAACCTGGGTTCAAAGGGAAAATCCATATTCCTACCACCCAGAAAGTTGACACTTCATGTGTTTAACTGGTATTATTTTCATCTGTGTTCCTGGTCCAGCCCACAGAACCTGATTGCACAGTCTCAGTCTGGTACAGGTAAAACAGCTGCTTTCGTCCTGGCCATGCTCAGCCAAGTGGAACCAGCAGAGAAATACCCCCAGGTGAGGGCTGGGGAATTGTGGGGAGCAGGGGGGTGGGTGGGTTGTGTTGGTCACCTGCTTTGCCTACCCAGGAAAGGCAGTTAACAGGGGTGCCCCTGGAGGGGTCCGAACGTCTCCTGCCCCACAGACTGAGTCAGGCAGATCAGGTTTGTGCACCAGGCCTTAACTTGGGCAGAATTCATTCAGAAGTAGCAGCCTTGGCAGTGGCTTCTGAAAGGCATCCACCCAGCCAGGGCTCCCCACTGAAGGCTTCGGTCTTCAGCTGAGAGCTGGGCCTGCTTGGGGATGTGGTTCCCGCTAACACTCTAGTGCTAATCACGTCTGCGTACTTGTTGCTTCGGAGTGTGTTGGCTAGTACTCACCGGCTCTCCTGAACTCATCCTCTGTGATCTCCCTCCCAGTGTTTGTGCCTCTCCCCAACATACGAGCTGGCGCTTCAGACGGGAAAAGTGATCGAACAGATGGGCAGATTTCATCCGGAACTAAAGCTTGCATATGCTATTCGAGGCAATAAATGTGAGTATCAAGGGGTGAGACCTCAGCAGTGAGCAGAGTACAATGGTTGGATGTTTGAATTTTGAAATGTGATGATGATACTCAGGTTTCTGGTTCAGTCTCTTAGATCATAACTGTATTGCTTTGAGCAAATCTTTTAAAATTTGTACTAATTTGTTAACAGCCCTGTCCAGCCTTAAAGTAAGATTTTGACTTGTTAAAAGAAAATCCCTGCATGGGTCATGAGTTCTCATACTGTCCTGGTGGAGGGGGGAGCGTGCATTCATATCAGCACCAAACACATCAGGGGAGTTGATAACACATTGAGAAACTCTCAAACTTACAGTGGCACATAAAAGTTTTCCATACTTCTCATTCTGATTTTCTCTTGAAAGCTTAAATGTGAGCATGCAGCAAATAACAGCCAATTATTTTCATTGAAGAGACAGGCTTTCTTTGTACATTTTCAAGAACGTGTATATCAAATTCCCAACTTGATTTTCTGTATTTTGTATGTCAGTCAGCAGACAGATGGCTCCTTCAGCTCACCACACACACAGTCACAGAAGAGCTTTTCCCAGAGAAAACCATCTTGTCTTGGCATGCAGCAGAAGCACTTATCCAGAAACTGTTAGCTGGGGTATCCGTGTGTGTGCTTGACATCTCAAATGGATGGTCGCACCTATGTGAAGTAACCAGAATCTTGTGACAGCATACATCTTCTCTGGGTTGTTTTGTAATAACATGGGGACTTTTCTGTGTATGAAGGACTAACATAGTAACTATTTAATGTATCATTTTTTAAAGATTCACTTAGACAGGCAGGCAGTGAATATTAAGAACCACATGTATTTGAGTTAATTTAAAAGTTTTCTAGTGGTAAGTTGATAAATTCCTAATGAAAGGCCCTTTCTCCTCAAATTTTAAGTTGTATGTTTTTTAAATAGTTATTTGCCCATTTCGTAATTAGAAAGGATATATAGTAGAAACTTTTCTTTTTTGCATTCCCTCCCCCAACCACCTAGTTCTTCCTAAAGGCACCCAGGACTAACCAGTTCTCCATGTGTCCTACCAGAGATAGTCTGTGTGGCTATAGGCAAGTAATAATGCACATGTGTGTTTGAGAGTATGTAATGTACATGTACACTCACATACATGTACACATATATTCTTCTTTGCCTTTTTTAGTGTACACTGCTTTGCAACTCTTTTTCACATTTAATAATGTATTTTGGAGATTGTTCCATATCACTTCCTAAACGGATTTATACTTTTATTGGTGTAATCCATTGGTTGTATCATATTTTACTTAGTTACCTTTTGATGCATACATATCTTTGCATGTATATTATTTCATGTAAATTTAATTACAGAATTAATTCCTAATAGTGGAAGTATTAGTGAAAGGCTACATACATTAGTAATTTTGATAGATGGCTGTATTAGTTTTAGCTCCCACCAGCTATAGTTTGAGAGTACTGTGGTAATGTCTATTTTAAATCAAAGAGAATTTGTACACTGGAAAAACTCTACAAATCAGAATGTCTAACAAAGCAAAACATCATTGGGCCAGGATCCTGGGACTCAAAACTACCAGTTTAGGAAGAAATGAGTGAACTGAGTGAATAGATGGTATGAAAAGCAAAAGAGGCGTGCCAAGGACAATGAGCTTGGTGGTGCTGAATCATAAGAGAAAGGAGGAAAGGGAGGTAAGGCTTCTTGACAGTCCCTCTTCAGGGTCTAGTCCTGACTGCAGTGCAGGGAGCTAGACTGCATTATGCCCATTTGACAAGACGTATGGAGGACACTTCTGTGTGTTTTGAGATCTGGAATTACTTGTACTACCAGCTCTGGAAGTGGGGCAAGGCTTTGGTTTCCAAAGCTGGCTTTACCATGGACATACCCACCAAACACATCTTGTCTCCACAGTGGAAAGAGGCCAGAAGATCAGTGAGCACATTGTCATTGGCACCCCTGGGACTGTCCTAGACTGGTGCGCCAAGCTCAAGTTCATCGACCCCAAGAAGATCAAGGTGTTCGTCCTGGATGAGGCTGACGTGATGATAGCTACTCAGGGCCACCAGGATCAGAGCATCCGCATCCAGAGGTAGGAGCTGCGGGGCCTGCGGGAGGACTTCTCAGCCTCCTGGGCCGCACGTACACATCCTGTTCTCTGTGTCTCCTCCTGCTGTATCCAGGGCCTCTTCTCCCTCCTGCTGGGTTCTTGGCTTTCAGAACCTGCAGAAGCATTTGTTCAGTGGGCCATTTCTGTGTCGGCACCGGCCTCCGGTGGAGGAAAGAGACCTCAGGACTCTACCGGCGCCCGTCCCTGCCCCGTGTCTGCTTCTGCCTCCCTGCGCTTCTCCCCTTTGCGCCTTCCCTGGGGACGTAGGCCATCTAAGCCAGGGAAGCTGGGTTGGGCCCTCCCAGGGAAAGCCTCGAGGTCATGCCAGATACCTGGGTCTTCCCTCACAGGATGCTGCCCAGGAACTGCCAGATGCTACTGTTCTCTGCCACCTTTGAAGACTCGGTATGGAATTTTGCCCAGAAAGTGGTCCCAGACCCAAACATCATCAAACTGAAGCGCGAGGAGGAGACGTTGGACACCATCAAGCAGTATTACGTCCTGTGCAATAACAGGGATGAGAAGTTCCAGGCCTTGTGTAACCTCTACGGGGCCATCACCATTGCTCAAGCCATGATCTTCTGCCATGTGAGTGGTGGCGGTGGCAGCTGGCCTTTTGGGGTAGGGGTGGCCTGGATGGCCCTGAGGACCAGGTCCCCTCTGCCAGAAAGGAAATGGTTTGTGAAGATGTAAGAGGCCATGTCTTAATATCCTTAGGAATACATAGCCTAAGCATAGAGCCCCTTGAATTTTATATTATTTGTAGGTGAAGTATTGCTAGAAAACCGAAGTGAATCAACTGATATTTTGTAGGAAAAACAAGAAAGTAAACAAGATGGTTAGTTACAAAATTAATTAGAAAATAAGTGGTTTTCCAGTTTTTGAAAGCACTTAGAAAATGGAAGGATAAGATCCTATTTATAATAGCAAAATGAAAAATTTTTTTCAGAGGTACATATTTAATCTCTCTGAAGAAAAGTTTAAAATTATGTTAAAGGATTCTTACTCTCGGAAGACTTGGAATTTTTAATTTTGTTTTAGAGTGACATCCCTCCCCCAACTTCAGATGAAACTTTCAACCCACAGAAATGGTGAAAATATAAAATGAATGCTTTTGTTGTAAATATTTAGTCTCATTTGCTTTATCCACATGCTTGGGGGTGTGGCATATCAGTGCTTTTTGCTTTTGCTTCATCATTTTAAAGTTAGTTGCAGACATCATACCCATTCACAAGGCATGATCCTACATGACCCCAGTACCATTGCACACCTTTTAAAGTCATACAGTACTATTATCCCCAGACAGTTTAGGCATATTTTGCTTCTCCACTTATACCAAAAAAGTTCTCTGTTGCTTTGGCTTGCTGCTCACTCGAGAGCATGGCTACGGTTGTTGACTTTGGTTGTTGTGTCTCTTGAGACTCCCTTAGTCTTGAACAGCTTCCCTGCCATTCATGGCATGGACAGTCGAAGGGGTTCAGGCTAGTAAGTAGTTTTTTAGTTTCTCTTGATTTTTCCCCTCGTGATTATATTCAGGTTAAGTCTGTTTGGTAAGATCACCACACAAGTGGTGACGTGGTTACTTCCTGTTCCAGCCCATCAGATTAACGATTTTAAGAACTTTCACCCTTAGGAGCTAAAGGTTAAAGGTTTTGACTTGCAGATCAGAAGTATTTTCTTCAGATACCTTCATGTCTCAAAATCTTTTCTTCCTTCCAGACCCGCAAAACAGCCAGTTGGCTGGCAGCAGAGCTCTCAAAAGAAGGCCACCAGGTGGCTCTGCTGAGCGGAGAAATGATGGTGGAGCAGAGGGCTGCAGTGATTGAGCGCTTCCGCGAGGGCAAAGAGAAGGTTCTGGTGACCACGAACGTGTGCGCCCGCGGTGAGCAGAGAGCATGTCCTGTCCCCAGGCTCTGGGAAGCGAGATAAATCCTCCCACACCGGCCACTCAGATGGTCTGGGGGAGATGGGGTGCGGCTCGTGGTGACATTCCTCTCTCTCGCTGGCGAGAACGCCCACAAAGCCCAGAGTCCTGACCTGGTGGAAGGAACGCACAGGCATCTCTGACTGTTCAGAAGGGCGCCTGCCCCTCGTGGGGCGCCCAGTGAGGTTTCAGCTGCGTCTCCAATGCTTGCGTCCAGCAGAGGCTCTTACTGACTTCATAATTTTGCTAGCGCCTGCCAAAGTTCTGCTGCTTTCCTCTGGGTTCCACTACGTCCCCTTGTCCCCGGGTCCCAGAGCTGGCCCGGGCCACTGGTCCTGCCACCTGAAGTTGGTGGCATGTGGGCCTGACTCGGGGTGACAGTGACTTGTGTGTCCTGTCCTCAGTCCTCCGCACTCTCCTTCCTGCAGGTATCGATGTTGAACAGGTGTCTGTCGTCATCAACTTTGACCTTCCCGTGGACAAGGACGGGAACCCAGACAACGAGACCTACCTGCACCGGATCGGGCGCACGGGCCGCTTTGGCAAGAGGGGGCTGGCAGTGAACATGGTGGACAGCAAGCACAGCATGAACATCCTGAACAGAATCCAGGAGCATTTCAGTGAGTCCCTGGGAGTGTGCCCGCTGGGGCCCTCTCCTTACAGGGCAGGGCCAAGGGAAAGTGCAGGAAGCGTTAAGTTTTCCCCTGGGCCCCAGAGAGACCTTTGTCCCTGTGCACCTTCCCCTCCTTCCCTGTACTGGGGAAGTTCTCACAGAGCACACCTGGAGAGTTCAAGGTCAGGGACTTGAAGGACTGTCCCCCCTTGGCCAGGCTGGGGGCGCCTGCAGCTCTGACCCTCGCTGAGGCAGCAGAAACCTCTGGGGTAAAGGAAGGATCAGTGGGGCCAGAGGCCTGGCATGTTCCTGGGCAGGGCGGAGAGCTGTGTGTCTCCTGTCACAGCCGCCTTCCTTCCCTAGGGCTGTTTCTGCACGTTGGCCCGTGTTGCTCACTCTTTGAACTCTCTCTCTTCCCCAGATAAGAAAATAGAAAGATTGGACACGGATGACTTGGACGAGATTGAGAAAATCGCCAACTGAGCAGCTCCGCCAGTCCCTGGTGTCCCCGCGCTCCTGCTGCCTGGAGCCTTGTGCTCTCGCGGCACAGGCCTCAACAGTCCCCACGAGGATGGAGGCCCGAGCAGAGAGGAACTACCTACCTCATTCTAAATTACGTTTGGACTTGACAAAAATTGTGCAAATGATGGGGGAGGTAGAAGGAAATTTTGCATTTTAGACAGTGTTGTCCTTTTCCTTCCTTGTTTAAGCCACATTTTCCCCCATTTTTCTAGTAATCTGATCGGTGTTGGTAATCACTGTCCCTGGGATCTCCTGGCTAGGAGTGTTGGGATCACCTGCCAGCTCCACAGGAAGCGATCAAGGTGGAATGCAGGCAAGGCCTGGGCTGTAGGGGTGTGTGTCCCCATGGGTGGGTTGTGAGGAGGAACAGTTTGGAGCCTGTGAGCTGCCCGCCAGTCCCTGCCTGAGTCTGTCACAAATGTCTCCTGCCTTTGGGCCTTCAGGGCCTCCCTTCCTTTTTCTAAAATCCAGAGACTTCCCACTAATCTCACATCTCTGTTCTCGGTACCAGAGGATATCCATGCTTCTCCCTGGGTGAGCATCTTGGCTGCTTTTGTGAATCTTAGATTTGGGGAGAAACATGGAAGTCAGTAACTCTTCAGAGGGGCTGGTCCAGCAAGGGTAGAGGAATCCTTCAAGGATCTGGGCCTCTGTTCCGCAGTTGCTCTGTCTGCTCAGGCACATGGCAATGTGACACACCTGCCCAAGTGTGCAGGTTCTAATCCATGGAGTGTCACACTGTGCCTGGAGGCGAGCAGCATAGCTTGGCAAGGAAGCTATGACCAGTGAAAACTCTGACTTGCTGTTCATCTGCTCTAATGGATCTGTTGGTTACTCTAGTTTGCACATTGTCTGTAGAATAAGGACCAATGAATTAGTTGTGCTCATTATGGTAAGAAATTTTAAAACAATTATGGATTGCTGTACTAATCATGATTTGTTTTTATTTGTATTTTTTTGCTTATTAGACTAATATATGCTCATTTAAAAGTATGTGAGTATGTGTGTATGTGTGTGTGTAAAAAGTGCAAGTGCTTTCTATCCCTATCTCTAAAATCACATTGCCAGCAGCTTGGTGAATAGTCGATACAGTGCCTTTTGATTGCACATATCAACTCATTTTTCTTTTACAAAAATATGAACATTCTATTCACTCTCTTGTGCAACCTGCCTTCTCACTTAACACATTGGCATCCCTCTGGCATGTAGCTGCCCCAGCATTAAATCATGGCTCCTCTAGTGATTGCCATGTGGGATGGTGATGTTCACAGCACCACAGCCGGATACCACTCGCTCATCTCTGTGCTCTGAGGTGCTAGGATTTTTTTCTAGGGGTAGAATTGTTAGGTTGAAGAAAGGGGACATTTAAAATTTTAATACACTGCCAATTCAGCCTGCCAGAAATTTTTTTACCAATTTATGCTGTTGCAGTTAGTGATAAAATAAATAAATAAATCAAGTTTTCTAATCTGCTTGCCAACCCTCTATTACCAATTTTTAAAATTTGTCAGTCTGAGTAGCAAAAAGATCACATCATTGTTTTTGTTTTATTTAATAAGGCTTGGCAAATTTTCAGTTAGTGGATACTTTTCCTTGGGATGCTTCTCGTCTCACCATTTTATTATTGGATTATCAATCTTTGATGGTTTTTAGCTGCCTTTCTATTTTAAGAACATTATACTTTGAGTTATAGATTTCTTTTCCTAGTTTGTTTTTACAAACTAATTTTTTCTCAATACTATACAAAAGCTTAATGTTACTCAGATTTCCTTTTTTAAGAAATGTGGACTTTATGTCATAGGTAGAAAAGCTTTTGTCATCCCAATATTATAAAGTATTTATTCATGTTTCCTGTAGTGGCCATTCCTGGGCAGTAAATTCTCTTAAATTCTGGGGAATTGGATAGGTCTTAAAAATGTTTTGCCCTGCTCATTTGCTGTGAGCAATTTTGGTACCCAGAGGGTGAGTGGGAGGCCAAGCTGTGGGGCTGTGGGCTGGAGTCATGGAGACTAGGTGGACGGGGGAGAATACAGAGGGTCCAGATGGCAAGGGATGTGAGTGAAAGTGGGAGGCCGGGCATCCATGAGGGTGAAGCAAGTACTGGGCAGTGACTGCAGGTGTAGGTGCGCCAGGAAGAGGCAACCACAGCTGCCAGGGGGAGGGGTTCGGAGAAGAAAGGTTGGGGCAAGAAGGGGAGCAAGGTTCCAGAAAGGCAGGGTCAAGGAAAGGCAGTGCTCTTAAGGGGGACAGGCAGGGCTCAGCAAGGAGGAAGTGGAGGAGAGAGAGAGGGCTGGTGGAGAGTCCCACTCGGACTCCAGACACAACAGTAATACAGAAAAGGTAACACTAGAACACAAAACACACTGCCTGACCCGAACACAAGATGAATGTTTCTATGGACTAGCAATGGGGCAAAAATGCAAAGTGGGGAGCAGGGCTGAAGCCAAAAGCTTGTCAGGCTCCAGTCCAGAAAGAGAGTAGCTGCAGGCTGTCATGTCCTGTGGAGTAGAGGGGACTGCAAGCACTGTGCCCAAGACCAGAACCACAGCCAGGCTTGCCGTGTGAGGGGAGCTGGGCTGGAGCCTCTGCACCCCAGCCAGATGCCCAGGAAGAAGGCAGGAGGACTTAGATTTCCCTCGCGACCTGTAACTGCCACAATCGTGTTGACTCCCCTGGCCTGCTCTGATATCCCCGGATGGCCTCATGTCGGCAGACCTGGTTCTAGAAAAGGGCCCAGAGGGGCGGGGAGTTGGAAAGAGCCAAACGTTAAATCCATCTGTGGATCGTGTAGAGAAGAAATCTAAAGATAAAGACTATAAACAATATAAAAACAAATAGACCTAGATAAAATTAATTTTATGGATTAGCCTGATAAAAGACTGAGTATTTTCTTAATTATTCTCAGAGAAGAGAATACATTCCAGTAAAAAAAGCAAGAAATGAAGTAAATTTAGACAAAAGGAGTGGGGTGCTGAATCACTGGTAACTTGAAACTGGCCGTACTGGGAGTGTGCATAGAGATCCACAAACCCTGAAATTGGGGTTTTTGTTTCTTTTCAGAGAGCATTTACTAGCAAATCACTGGGCAGAAGTAAAACAAGATTAGAAATTTTAGAAATGAGAAAGGTAGCCATTGAAAAATAAATGGGAATCCTAGATTTTAAATCCTAGTTGTATTCTCATTTTAAGGACAGGAATAAAAGTACAACCCAAATTTCAGTAGGTTCACATAATAAAACTGTTTCTTGCTCTGGGAAAGTGTAAAGTGGGTATTCCTGATCGGTTGTCCTTCCTACACACTTTCCTCCCTACTTCCATTAAAAGAAAAAAAAATTTATATAGAATTTGAGAATTGTAGAATGGCCTTAAATTTATAGAAAAATTGGGAAGACAGTACAAAGGGTTCCCATATATCCCCCTTGCCCCACACCTATTTTCCCCTATTGTTAACATGTTACCATGATACATTTATTATAATTAATGAGTCACTACTGATACATTATTATTCAGATTTCCTCAGTTTTCCCCCAAGCCTTTCTGTCCCAGGGTCCCCTCAAGGACATCCTGGGACATTTAGCTGTCACATCTCCTTAGGCTCCTCTTGGCTGTGACCGTCTCAGACTTGACAGGGTTGAGGAGCACAGCCAGGTATTTTGTAGGTCATCCCTCAGCTGGGATCTGTCTGATGTTTTTCTCAAGATGAGACCGGGTTATGGGTTTGGGGCAGGAAGACATCAGAGGTAAAGTTTTCCTTTTCACCGCATCCTATCAGAGGCGCATCCTATCAACATGGCGATGCTGACCTCGACCTGGCTGAGGTCGTGTTCCTCAGGTTTTCTCCTCTGTAAATGTAGTCTTCTTTCCCCTCTCCCTGCTTCACTCTTTGGAAGGTCACTGCCTGGCACACATCCAAGGGTGGGGAACTATGCTCCCCCTCCTTGAGGGCATAGTACCTATAACAAATTATTTGGAATTCTTCTGTACAGGAGATTTGTCTCTTCCCCACTTATTAATGTATTTTCAATCATGTACTTACATAAGTGTAGAGTTTATTTATATATATGTGTAGCCTGGTGAGATTAACCTTGATCCTTTGGTTAAGGTGACTGATATTTTTTAAGTATGCTCAAGTCTGAAAGTTTACTTATTTCACTTATAGCAAAGCTGAGATTCCAGACCCTCCTCTCGAGTGGTCTTCAGTGTGGTGTGTCATGGAGATGGGAGTTTCGCAGGAAGAGCTGCGGAGAGGCGGCCCCAGAGACAAGGGCATCCATCCTGTCCCCGTTTTATGACAAACTAGATACATTTTTGTCATGAATATGTATTAATTTTTTAATTAAAAAAGGAAAGGAGAGGCAAACGTTTTCTAGCAAAGGGAAGATTGAACTCACATCCCTCTGAATGCAGACACCACATATATGTATTCTAATTGACCAGGCCTTCTCCCTGGGAGAAGCCATGTGGCCAGAAGAGCCTGCGTTATTCTCAGGAGTAGGAAAAGTTGTTAGATGAAAGGTGTTACTTCTATATTCTCAGAAGAACAGACTGGTCCTCATACTCACAGTTCAGCAAAAGTGGGGGAAGAGCACATCTTCCTGCATTTTCTTGTGGGTCAGTTTTCACCCGGGCATAGACTCGCTGCAGAAGCTGTGATTCTTCTGGAAGGGTGGTGAGAAAGAACACTGATTTCCAATTCATACTCAGGAATAATTTCATTTTTTAAAATACAGTTTGAGGAATCTTACCCTTCCCCTCACCTAGCAAAAAATGAGAATGATGTTTTCTTACTTTGCCAAATATGTCACAGGAAGCAGTTCCTTGCCTACAGCTGTCCTGTGATGGGTAAAATACTTAATCCCTTCTTTCCCTTTGCTGGCATCCAGCCACATAAATCCAAGAGCTCTCTGTGCTGCAGACTGTATTACTGCTTACCCAGATAGGGTGCCTCTCCCAGAGGACGATGACATATCCCTGCTAGGCTGGCCACGGGACTTCTTCGGCATCAAGGAAATGAGAAGTTCTTGATGGAAGCTTCACAAGCCTGCCTGTGGCTTACCAGATTCTCTTTTCCCTGCCTCTGAGACCACAGATCCACCAGAGAAGGTGCCACTGTGCCTGGATCCCTGAGCAACCATAATCAGCAGAGCCCTATGGCGGAAATGGGGCTTGAGTGAGAAAGAAACTTTGTTGTTTTAATCATGTTAAAACATGTTGGAGGGGTGTTTGTTACTGCAACACAACCTGGCTTATCCCTACCCTCGCTCTCCATGGATTGGCTGGGTCCCTGTGAACCAACCACCCCAACACCAGCATGGACAGGAGGTAAGCCCCATCATGTACCCAGAATTTTCAAGCAGCTTCTAGATCTGCTATTTCAGAAGAGAGGACAATCTTCAATTCCCAGTTACTTAAAAAGCTTCCATCACAACAGAGGGGTCAAATAAGCAACCACAAAAACCCAGCCCTGTGGAGACACAGGGAAACCACAGAAGAGAAAGGTGTCTACTAAGTAGATGACTGAACATCACACTTACCTAACTTTCCTTCCCACAACCTCACTAATGTTACAGGGAAGGAATGAAAAAGGTATAAACTCCCATGGGCAGATAAAATGGGAGCAATTACATCACTAGAAGAATTTAACACAATGTTTAAGAGATACACACAAAGGATGAAAAATGTACATACATATATATAACCTGTTCAACTCTATCAGAGAGTTACCTCTTATAGGGTTTAATTTTTCACATTAGTTCCTGTTCATTTGGCATTTTGGTGAATGATTAAAGAAATGGATCTAATTTTATCTTTTTCCAAATGGTTATCAAGTTATTCCAATAAAATTTATTTAAACATCCATCTTTCCTAGGTGATTTGAGAAACCATCTTCACTATAAACTGAATTTTCATATGGACTCGGGTCTAGAAAAACTAAAAAAATAGAATAGACACTGATGGACAGTGACTGTAATGGGGCATATGGTGGGGACTTGGTAATGGGGAGAATCCGGTAACCAGAATGTTGCTCATGTAAATTGTATATTAATGATACCAAAAAATAATAATAATAAAAAATAAAATAGAGTATCTAGAAATAGGCTGAAATTAATATTCAATGTAAAGAAAGGAGTGCTTGGCAAGGAAAATGGAGTGGGAGACCTCTAGGCTACTTGTAAACTTGGGTAGTAGGTACATGAGTGTTCATCTTAAAGTAATTCATTAAGGAACCTTCATACTGTTTTCTGTAGTGGCTGCACCAATTTACCTTCCCATGAACAGTGCATGAAGGTTCCCTTTTTTTCATATCCTTGCCAGCACTTACCTCTCATCTTCTTCGATCACAGCCATTCTGGTAGCTGAAGTGCTACCTTATTGCAGTTTTGAATGGCAGTTCACTGTTGATCGTGAGGTTGAGCACCTTTTCATGTATTTGTTGGTCATTTGAGTATCTTCTTTGGAAAAATGTCTATTCAGATCCTCTGCTCACTTTTTAATTAGGTCATTATTTTATTTTATTTTATTTTATTTTATTTTTGAGTTGTAGGAGTTCCTTATATATTTTGGATATTAACCCGTTAGCAGCTATATGGTTTGCAAATATTTCCTCCCATTCTATAGGTTGCATTTTCATTCTATTGCTTGTTTCTTTTGTTGTGCAGAAGCTTTTTAGTTTGATGTGGTCCCACTTGTTTATTTTTGCTTCTGTGGCTTGTGGTTTGGGTGTAATATCCATAAAATCCCTGCCAATACCAATGTTGAGGGACTGTTCCCCTTATTTGTGAGTCGTCAAGATAGGCGTCCAGTCTCATTCCTTTGCCTGTGAATATAGAACTACCATATGATCCGACAGTTCCACTTCTGGGTACACCTCTGAAAGAAATGAAGACACTGTCTCACAGAGATGTCTGCACTCCCGCACTCACTGCAGCTTTACAATAGCTGAGACATAGAAACAACCAATTGTCCATCAATAGATGAATGGGTAAGGAAAATGTGGCATAGATATACACAGTGGAATATCATGCAGCCATAAAAAGAAGGAAATTCTGCCATATGTGACAGCATGAATGGACTTTGAAGGCATTTTTCTATGTGAAATACATCAAGACAGAGAAAGACAAATTCTATATGATCTCATATGTATGTGGAATCTAAAAAAAAACACTGATAGAAACAAAGACTGGTGGTAGCGGAGTAGGACAGGTGGGAAAGCTGGGGAAGGTGGTCAAAAGGTACAAACATTCCAGTTACAAGATAAATAATTTCTAGGGAGATCATGTTCAACATGCTGAGTACTATAGTTAATTATACTGTATTGTATATTTAAAAATTGTTAAGAGATTTTTAAAGTTCTCATCACACATAAAAAAAATGTTAACTATATGAGATGATGGATGTGTTAACGTTAGTATGGTAATCATCATGCAATATATATACATTTTAAATCACTACATTGTACACCTTATGTATCTACACAGTGTTTCATGTCACTCATATCCTAATAAATCAGGAAAAACAAAGAAAATCTAGTTTTTCTAATTCTTCATTTACCATATTCAACCACCTCTTTTTTCCTTTTCTTCACTTTATTTTTACATAGAAATGGCAGTGGCAGTGGAGACTGTATTTCCTTTACCACAGAAATTATATCATCCTGAGATAGGGCAGGGAAATGGGACAAGGGTTATGCCTCTGTAAAATCTACTTAGCCTGTGAAAAAGGCAGAGCTTATTCTTTAACTTAATTTATATGCTGTTCTTCTTCCAGCCCCTTAATTAAGTAACTTTGTAGCCAGGACAGGAGAGAGACCTCCAAAGTGTAAATGAACCTATGTGGATGAAGAATGCCGAGATTCAGATCAACACAGTCATCTAAGTAACCCTATTCTTAAAACAAATCTTCAAAGGAATTATGAATCAGCTGTTTACCTCATTCCTTATGCTCACCCCTACCCAGAAGGCCCTATAAAACCCCAAACCCTAAACCCTCACTCCCCTATAAAACTCCAAACCCTAAACCCTCAGCACCCCTACCCAGAAGGCCCTGGGGAGTGAGGGAGTGAGGGTTTAGGGTTTGGGGTTTTATAGAGGGCCTTCTGGGCAGGAGTGTTCAGTTTTATATCAAACTTTCTTGTAGCATAAGCTGATTGCACTTGTCTCAGAACTCTTTTCTGTGGTAAAGACAAGAACTGTCCGACCTCCATCTGGTAAAAGCTGTAAATGTCTTTGTCACTTTGCTATTTCATTCAACTTTCTAGTCTTAACATAATCCTTTTTTCTTGCCGTGTTTTATTTCAGATCAGTGGGGAAGTGGAAGTTCTCAGAACATAAACTCCCTCCATCAAGTGCTCTGTGGCTCCCCCAAATCCCGGGGTGGTAGGGACTTAGTTCCCATGCCATGTAGATTCAACCGGACACTGGATGCCAGGTGACCCTGGCTTTAGGAGTTGGCAAGGAATTTGCTCTATGCCAAGGAGTTCAATGTGCTTCCCTTTCCTCCCTCTGTTCTTCCTTGTTCTCTGCTGCCTGCACACCTGACATTCACTTCTACTCTTGCTTTGATGAATTCCTTCCTTACCTACACTTGTCCGACCAGGTGGAAAATTCTTTCTCAATTAGGCAAGAACCCTCCCCCATCCAGGTGGAGGTCTCACCTAGTGCACAAGGAGAGACCTCCTCAGATTCAGCTACACAACAGCAATCCTGTCTATTCATATCTATAATTATTTATTATATATAATATTTTCCTATCTTTGCTTTTCTCAGCTGTGCGATCCTGATTCTGAGACCCACATGCCAAATAAATATCCATTATGGAGTTAAAAAAATAGTAAATAGTTCATTAAGCCAAGTATTTTTATATATTTACTTTTATGCTCTTTGCTGTGTATGTATTATACCCCACAACAAAAATGGTTTAAAAAATTATTTTAAAAATTCATTAGTCATTGGGGCACCAACATCTTTGAAGAACTATGTGGTGGCTTTCATCCGTCAGAGAACAATGGAATCCAGGCGTGACAGAGGCCAGAAAGCTGTGCTTAAACAGTGCCTAACACCTGAGATAGATAGGCACGTTTACCACAACAACCCACAGTATGGTAATTCAAGTTTTGACCCATAAGGATTTGGAACAATAGTTAATTGACCATGAGGGGCTCTAGAAATGAAATAGATGATGGGCAGCCTACTAAGGTACTGCTTGGTGTGTATAGGAGGGAAAATGTCAGAAATGTTAAGAAACCCGTCACAGTGATGGGAATTCACAGCTTCTTTCCTAGTTCCCAGACATAATTCAGGTCACACACCTGAAGATTCTTTTTCAAGAGGATCCCAGGGTCCTCTGAGCAGCGACCCTCTGATGCAGCTTAGGTATGTAATGTGAGTCTTCCCCCAGCCCTCTCCAAAGGGATCTATTTCCCAGAGTGATAATGTGCTGGGAAAGGGAAACACCTAGACCTTCAGCAGCTGCCAGATCATGGCTCTGAGACCCACGTGCCAATGTGGTCTGTTCGTTTAGAGTTGGAGCTTATTATAGCAAATGGTAGATGAAGCTCTGGTCTAAGTCCATTTAATGGTAAGTCCAATGAGACAACAGAGCCACATTAAGGTAGCTTTCTCAATCTCCAAAGGGAAGAGAGATATTTACTACCTGGCAAAATCCCCATACTGGCAACCTGAGCCCAGAGTGCAGGCTATTATAATGGGACAGGCCCAATAGAAGCCCCTGTGATGTAGGGCAGGGATGTGGGACAAGCATCATGATTAACTTTTCCTGCCTATGATGAAAAATGCTGAGATATAAACAGAATAGTAAGAACAGGAGAGACCCCATCTTAGGGCTAAGACTCCTTTTTAAAAACCAGGGACTTAGAACAAAATAGCAGCAGACTCACAGACTTCAAGAAGGGACTAGTGGTTACCAAAGCGGAGGGGTGGGGGAGTGTGGGTGAGGAGGGAGGGAGAAGGGGATTGTGGGTTATCATGACTGGTGCACATGGTGTGTGTGGGGTCACAGGGAAGACAGTATAGGGACTCTGTACTGAGAAGACAAATAGGGACTCTGTGGCATCTTACTACAGTGATGGACAGTGACTGCAATGGTGTATGGGGGGGACTTGAGAATAAGGGTGAAAGTAATAACCACATTGTTTTTCTTGTGAAACTTCATAAGAATATATATCAATGATACCTTAATAAAAATAAAAAGGAAAAAAATAAACCAGGGAGTTAGGAGGTAAGATTCCTAACATATTCTTTGGTAATCACACAATAATTATGCACCCTCAGTCTTAACTAATATGTTCCTAGTGCTTGAGGAAAACCACTGTCTTGGAGAGGAACTAGATCAATAAATTCCTTGTGTTAAGTTTATCTTACAGAATTATTTGGAGGACTGATAATGGACAAGGACATCTTGTCTCTTACTGGAGATAGACATCCTGAGACCACATGACAAGCCTACATCCCACCCTGCCCAGCCCTACCCCGGCTCTTTATCCCATTCCTAAAAGTTCTTAAAACACATAATCCCCAGCCTTTTAAGTGCACCTCCTCTCTGAGATCGCCCACACTCCCTTTTCTTCGACTTTAAAAAAAAAAGCCTTCTCACGGCTCAACTTAGCGCTCTGTCTCTGCACTCTTCCTGTAGTCTGTCACTTGGCTATTTCATTCTATTTTCCAGACTTAAGCACAAGTCTTCACTCTGTGTTCTACTCCAGGTAAGGAGGGAGGGGCTACTGAGAGCTCTGATTTGATCAAGTTCCTGTCGCCTGGGTGACCCAGACAGGACAGAGGCTGTACAATCATGCTCTTTAGAAGCCTGCCTGAAAATCTCCTGTCTCTGCCTTTGGGAAGTTCTCAGAACACAATCTCACTCCATCCAGTGCTCTGTGGCTCCCCCAAATCCTGGTGTGCTAGGGGCTTAGTTCCAATGCCATGCAGATCCAAGTGGACACTGGACGGCAGTGGCACTGGCTTTAGGATTTGGTAAGGGATTTGCCCAATGCCGAGCAAGAGTTCAATGAGCTTCCCTTTCCTTTCTCTGCTCATCCTTGCTCTCTTTGGCCTGCAAGGCAACTGTCATTCCCTGCTACTCTTGCTTTGATGAATTCCTTCCTTACCTACACTCATCCGAACTCCTTGAGAATTTTCTTGCTGAGTCAAGAACTCTCCCTGTCCAGGTTGAGGTTTCACCTGGTGTGCAGGGAGAGACCTCCCCAGATGCAACTCCTAGCAAAACCTGAACTATCTCCAAGATAGTAAATCAAAAGTCAATACCACATCCTGGCAGGATTGGTGCTGCCATCAAACTCGAGTTATGCAGGGGTTTGGTGATTTCTTTCTCATCCCATTTACCTACCAACTGAGTCATGGATAATGACAGTTTATTGCAAATGTAATCAAGTGATAATGTCAGCCCGTCGCTCCAGATATAGTTATCTTTGTGGGATCAAAGCAACACAGTCCTTGGCCAATGTGGGGAGAAAAAAAGATAAAAGACTTGATGGGACTTTTGACTCTAGAGGCTAC